ATTTGAGCTCAAGTCGGATGAGTTACGCGTAGTAAATCGTAGGTATTATAAGGCTAGTAAATGACGAATTTCCCTTGTTTGTTGAAGTCACACTCCTTCCCTATTATCTACTCCTGATAATATTATATTAATATTAATATTATAAGTTCTCGTTACTTAATAAGGTACTTATATACGTACGTACTCGTATAACTATGAATAATATTATATTAATATTAAGTTATTATAATGTTATAAGTTCTTGTTACTTCATAAGGGTGTGTTTCCTTCAGGTATGTACTGGAGGACGTGGCTTCACAGTGGGAGAGCTTTGGTAGCGTGGATTCCATCGACTGGGATCGGTACAAGAAGGTCACATACGGCTACGAACGAGACGAAGGTAGGTGTAAAACGATGGTGCACGGGGTCATACTCAGCGTATGGGGCGCAGAGCGAGAGAGTTTATATAGAGAGAGAGTTGCGACAACTCGCAATTAGAAACCACAGTAGCCAGCAATTAAAGGTAATACAAGCGGTTTAACTCAGATTTGTCCAAATTGGGTTTGTCACTACAGAAGGTTATATCTACAGTACAGTACAGTACAGTCAGCACGGGTGATCGAGCGGGATGCAAAATGGCGTTCACGAACTACGTGACCAAGAAAAACTGGGACCGCCATTGTCGCAACTCTCTCTCTCTCTCAATACGGCTGTGATGTTGCGTAGGCAGCCACAGTGGGTGTAGCAAGGGGTATGGTAGGAGGGCGTAGCAAGCAAAGGCAGGATCGGATAGGAACGTATCAATACCCGTGTTGTCGAGATTTGTACTGCGTTGCATCAATGAGTCGATCAATCGTCCCCACCCCCCGTTGACGACAAATACACAGTGCGACTCCTCGACGAGTCACCTGCCCCTTCCTTCTCATTCCTCCTCCTCTCTCATCCCTCACCCTCTTCCCCACCTCTCATCATTCCTCTCCCTCCTCTCACTTTTCCTTCCTCTCTCATCCCTCCCCCTCTTCCTCACCTCTCTCATCCTCCCTCCCCCAACCCCTCTCATTCCTCCTCCTCTCTCATCCCTCCCCCTCTTCCTCACCTCTTTCATCCTTCCTCTCCTCTCACTTTTCCCTCCTCTCTCATCCCTTTCCCCTTAACCCTTTCATCGTGAATCACGTTCTGTATCGCACGCCCCCCCCCTCGTAGATCCGGACGAGGACGAGCGTGCGGGCTTCAGCTACAAGAAGATGCTGCAGCGCGACGAGCGGCGGTGGGCGCGCGCCGACGCCGACGGCGACAAGAAGCTGAGCAAGGCCGAGTACGGGTCGTTCCTGCATCCCGAGGATGCCCCACACATGCTGGACGTGGTCGTACAGGTGAGTGATGGGCGTGGTCGTACAGGTGAGCGATGGGCGTGGTCGTACAGGTGGGTGATGGGCGTGGTCGTACAGGTGAGTGATGGGCGTGGTCGTACAGGTGGGTGATGGGCGTGGTCGTACAGGTGGGTGATGGGCGTGGTCATACAGGTGGGTGATCACTGATGGGCGTGGTCGTACAGGTGAGTGATGGGCGTGGTCGTACAGGTGAGCGATGGGCGTGGTCATACAGGTGGGTGATCACTGATGGGCGTGGTCGTACAGGTGAGTGATGGGCGTGGTCGTACAGGTGAGCGATGGGCGTGGTCATACAGGTGGGTGATCACTGATGGGCGTGGTCGTACAGGTGAGTGATGGGCGTGGTCGTACAGGTGAGCGATGGGCGTGGTCATACAGGTGGGTGATCACTGATGGGCGTGGTCGTACAGGTGAGTGATGGGCGTGGTCGTACAGGTGAGTGAGTGGGGAG